TCGATTGATCGCCGGCGAGAGGCGGAGGGAAAATTGGGTGCTTCTTTTTTATTTGGATTTTGCCCAAATTGGGATTTTGGAGGGGTTTCTCTTGTTAGTTTGTTTTCTTTTTGGGTGAATTTCAGAAAACCCCTAAATTTTGGAGTGATTTGCACAAATGCATCACTAACTTTAAATTTTAAAATTAGTAAGAAAAGAAAAATACTGGAAAAGAAAGGGAACTTTTATTTAGAATCAACACGAGTCCATCTGAAACTTAATTATTTATGTGCTTTTCTTTTAAATGATAGACTTTGTTTTTCTTAAGTAGGTGGATCTAAGTTCAATAAAAAAGGTTGTCGAATTGAAAAAAAATGAAACTATTATGATTTCGTTCCATTTCGATGTTAGAGTTGGTGATAGTTAGTTTCGATTTTATCGATGTTTTATTGAGATAGATTGTTTATTTATTTTGATTATATTGGATATGTGAAATTATCTTATTAGAAACAGATTAATGAGTATCATATGTCACATGAGAAGATTCTCTCATATACAATGATGTGGCTTAATCTCAACCAAGTATAATGTGTAGAATTCTCTCTTTTTATTCACATATTTAGATATAGTCACACCATTATTATATAAAGAGAATCTGATATCTATTATTCTCAACTAAAAATAGTAATTTAGGTGAATTTTTTAAACCAGAAAAAAATGGTGAACCCAAAAATTAGTGTATTTTCTCTAATCATTAAAAATTATTATCTTTCTGCGCAAATCTTCCAGACTCAGGGGGTTTAATGAAAGGCGGGAAATCTACACAGACGGGTCCAAGCCCATTAACGTCATAATGCGGACCGCTTCAGTCTCCGTCTTTCTCCTTTAAAAACCCTAAACCCCGAGAAAAATTCTACCTTTCTCAACTCCGAGGATCGAAATCGTCGAGAGGCGGCGAGGGAGGACTCGAAGATGATCATCCCTGTTCGCTGCTTCACTTGCGGGAAGGTTATGCCCCCATCCCTTTCGATGTTTAAGTTCTCGATGTTATCAGATTCTAGGGTTTGTCATTTGGCGTCGATTGATATAGATATCTAGGGTTTTGATGTGGATTTGGTTTGTGGTTCAGGTGATTGGGAATAAGTGGGATACGTATCTCGATCTGCTGCAGGCGGATTACACTGAGGGGTGAGAACCGAATCCATTTCTTTATTTTTTGTTAATTCGTATGCTTAATTGATATCATAAGCTTATTAGCGGTTAGTTTTTTTTTTTTTGATCAAAATCTGTTAATTTTTTTGAATTTGTTTCTTTAGTGCAAAATTAGTGCATTGATTGTTTGCTGGCTCTACTTCTGAAGCGGAATTAGTGTTTGATATGGGTTTTCGTTTGTGTTATAGAAAAAAAAAATCAGAGGGAAAAGCAGTAAATTTACAACTGAAAATAACGTTGAGGGTAAAAGTATGGTCATGCGTCGGGGAGGAACGAGAAGAGGATTGGGAATCATATCTTAGGCTGAAGCTGAAAGCTGGTCTTTGTAGCTAGGGATGAAGAGAGAATGCTAGAGGTAGACCAGTTAAATAGAAAAATGACGCTATTTATTTGCAGCTTATGTAAGAGGGTTCCATGCATGGAGGTGGTGAGAAGGCACTGGGGAGAAAGGTTAGACCTTGGAAAACGGTATGGAAGGAAGCAGATCAAAAGGGTTATAGATGGTTTATAAATTGGACCGGCAAATAAGTAGGCATAATGGGTTGAATATTGCTCGGAGCGAAATTACCTGGATTGGGGGAAGTGATGATTATTGCCTTTGTACAGTGTGTACGTGCTTATGCTGATTATTCGGAAGCAATTGATGTTAAGAATGAGATTAAGCGTACGCTCCTTCTCACATTTTATTTCTCTCTGTGGGTCTGTTTTCGTAGGGGGTTTGATGGTTCATCCGAAGTCTCCTTATTATATCTATTATAGGATGAAAAAGCTAAACAATAACTTAGGGAAGGAAGATATAAGGATTATTTCTCTAGTCTGTTTATGTCGTTGTCAATCCATTAATCCATAAATAGTATTACTATTTTCATTTTGGTAATATTTTTAAGCAGACTGAACCACAAATCCTTGCAGCATCCTATATCATCCCCTCCCCTTTATAGCAACTAAAACCCTATCCGTAATGAACAACTACAATAGCTGGGTATGGTAATATACTTGCATTATCATATATATGCTTAATATCTAGTAGACAGTAGGGCCAAATAAACTCAGTTTCAAATCTCTGGAAAATTAGAGAAGACCTGTACAAAGTGCGCAAAATGTTCTGTTTTATATGGTTCATCATGCTTTGTACTAGAAAACCTTTCATAACATGTAACCGTGATCTGGATTCTGAATCCCATGCTTGCTCCTGTTGATTTATTGATTACGGTGAAGCCATTGAACTAGTTGTTCTTAATGTTCATGTCCTATCAATAATCTACATGTGAGATGAAAGACATGAAGCTTCATAATCTGTCTATCCTTTTGCATTTAGGTGGTTTTGGAAATCCATGTATGTTTTGAGTTTTCCAAAATGACATGCATTTTGATCTTTCTGAAGCTACAGTGCTAATGGGATATACATTCTCATGACGAGACATCTGATTAACCAAATCATCTTGGGAGATCCCTACTTTGCTGCTCCATGGAATAGAGCTGAAGTTCATCATCTGTCCTGACTATATTCTATCGACAAAGATCTGAGAACCAGCCACCTATCTAGTTCATGCTAAATTTAAAAGTTCATGTTTATGAACAACATCCTTACAGATCTCTAATTAAGGCAAATATATTACAAAAATGTATGTTGATGGAAGGGTGGTTAGCAAATATATACAATTATTTAAAGAAAGCTCCCTTTTTGGTTCATGTGAGCTTCATTTTTGAAATGCCAAAAATGTCCTTATCCTTTAAAAATTCAAAAGAAACACCCTGCTGGGGTAAAAAAGGGAAATGACCTCACACTAGAAAATTGAAATAAAAATGTTCTCACACTTGAAATCCCTAAAAGTTCAACGAAAATGCCCTCACATGTGGGAAAGTTAACAAAATGCCGTAAAAAACCACCCAATCCCTTGACAATTTGACTACACCAGTCCCCATGTTTGTATCAAGCTCACATTGTGTGCGCCAAAATACTAGTACATATTAAACCAGCTGAGGTCAGGTGTCATGCTTACAGAGACCCCATCAATCTTTGATCAGAGCCTTGCTGCTGCTGTTTTCACTCACATTTTATTAATAGGTATTTTTGGGTCTAGGAAAATCATTTAAAAGTTATGACTGTTATAGAACTTATGCACGGGGATGATAAATTTCCTAGTTCCTACTGCTGATTTTAAAGGGCATTTTGGACCGCAAGGAACAATTGGTCTCTTCTTCTAGAATTGTATTTAAGCAGATGAAGCATTATATACAGCATAATGTTTTTTGATATTTTACTGCGTACAATCAAGATTCACGAGGTTTGTCTCAATTTATTAGGGATGCGCTCGATGCACTGGGGCTGGTCCGTTACTGCTGCAGGCGAATGCTGATGACTCATGTCGACCTCATTGAGAAGCTCCTCAACTACAACAGTAATTTCATACTCAGTCCTATCTCATTTCTATTCCTTTATTCCCTTCATTTTCATGCTATAGCTTCTTCTTCTTTTTTTATTTTTTATTTTTATTTTTTTTTGCCGCAGCCCTGGAGAAGAATGAACAAAGTTAGTGAGGAGATGGTGCAGTTGCATGGAGATAAAGTGTGTGGTTTAATATTTAGCTGTCCATGGTATCATTGTAACAGGCTTTAAGACTGGCTGGTGTCATGTAATATATCGTATCGTGTTGTTTTTCTGGTATTTGCTTCGGATTTCAGTGAATATCTTCAGCTAAGAAGTAGAACTCAAAGGTTGATGACAGCATTAATTTTCGATTTGCCGGTACTTTGCTTATGTGAATCTTTGAATTGAGCATTGCTGTCTGCTTAAACTTTACTGCGGGTATTTGCTGAGATATCAATGGCATGATATCTCAATTTTTTTCTGTTATGTGCACAAGCAATAGGTGATATGTGCACAACTAGGGGTGCACGAAAATATTCGTATTTGTTAGGGGGTGCACAAAAAATTCGTATTTGTTAGGATGTGGATATGGTTAAAACCGATAGGATGTACTAACAAATATGGCTATATATAATGAAATACACAAGTTCATCTTTAAAATATCTGAATACATATTGGTCATATTGTTACAATAGTTTTAATCCTTAGATTAATGAATTTGAGGTTCATTTTGATGGTCAAGATGTCTAATCTTAGTTTTTCAAATATAATGAACATGTGTATCATATGAACTATATATATTTTTTCAATATTATCTAGTTTTCTCATGTTCATTCTGTATCCACATGTATATCTGCGTACATATCAGTATCGGTATCTGATTTTAGCGGATATAGATATAATTTTTTTTTACCAAAACATATACCCGTATTCATACTTGATAAGCAGATGTGGATATGTTAAGTTTTGTATCTATCGGTCATATTTGAGCTGTATCAAAGACCTGAAGACCGTTATTGTTCCCCCCCCCCCACCCCGCCCACCGCCACCCCCCACCCCCACTATGCTTCATACTTGTTTTAACAAAAGTTAAGCTATCAAATAGATGTTAGTTGTTTGATTTTTTCAAAACCTAATCATTTCTCTACCTACTGGCGCATAAAAGGCTATATAATACCAAGTATGCATCGGCAGCTTCACTTTCAATAAGATCTTTACCTGAACCATTATAGTGAATTTAAACAGAAATACAAGTCCAGAAAGCAAAAGTTAAAGTTCTAATGCGTGTAATATTGGGAAATGATTTTTCCAACAATTATTTTGAATAATCGCTATTATGGTCTCTTTGCCAAAATATCCAAAGCGACTTTTTCGTTCTTTCATTAATTCCCAAAATTTTACCCAATTTAGTAAAACGAACACTCGCTCTCACTCCAACCCCTAACCTTCACCCGTTCAAAATGAGAGCCCTCCATCCAATCTCTTATCCGCGCCTCCTCCGATCCCCTCCCCAAAAACCCTAACGCCTAAAATAAACCCTAACCCCTAGCCTCACCTCCCCCTCCAGCCTCCCTCCGCCTCCGCCGCCCGCTCAGCACCTCCGCCGCCTCGTCCCGCAACGCCGGACGATGCGCGGACGACATCGGCGGCAGGCGACGGACTACGAGATGGGAGGAAGAAGAAGAGGCCGAGAGAGCTCGACAACAAGAAGACCTACGACGTCGAGTTCGACGCCTCCTTCGAGCCACTTCTCTCCCGCCGCCGCCGCTGCCGCCGCTCGGCCGACCGACATCGAGATGGTGCGACTAGCAAGAGCTTCGTAATCGATCCAGGAGTGGGACGAGGAGACGGTGAGTGGATATAGGCATTACATGCAGACGAGTTCACAAAAGATTCAGCTTGCTTCACTTGTGATTTCTTCATCTCGGAATTCCGCCGGATGCGGGACGCAGTAATGTCTATGATTTTAGGGAGTGGTATGGTTGAAAATACTTGAATGCTTTTTATGATTTTTTGGAGGATGAAGGTTAATGATTGGTTTGTTGTTGGTTTTTGCTCGAATAGATGTAGCGTGACGCCGCCGGCAGATGCGATGTGTACTCGATGTCCTTAAGGTTTGTAGCCTCCCATGCCGCAAAAGCGTAAAGATCTTTGCAGTTATACTGTGATTACGGCGAAAATCTTCTTTTTTTTAAAAAAATTTATCCATATCAGTTCTTCAAGTACGATTTACCCATTATATATTTTAAAAAGCCAACAATTTTTTCCAAAACAGCCCCATTTCATTTTTGTATGGACAAATTTAAAAACAACCTTTTTAAATATATTGGCAAAATCTGACCGCTTCAAGCAAAATAATGGCCAACACTCCAACCCTTTTGGGTCGCTTTTGCTACGAAGATACTTTGTTGAGTGCACGGGACTACTAGGGCCTCGGTGCCACAATGTTACTGTAACACGCTCGGCGCTTCTTACGGCGTCGACTTGCGCGCCCAGCTGTCTTAGTCACCTAGGCGCGGCCGCCTAAGCGTTTCTGGGCTTTTTTCTTCTTTATTTATAAGGGGTGGTCGATGAGTTTTGCTGCACCGGTCGGAGGGAGGTAGTGAAGGTTGTTCATTTTGAGGTTAATGGAGTTTTGTGTAGGACGTGTAGGCTTGACACGACACATAAAATCACAATTCAAAGCCTACAGGTGCAATCCAACGTAAGCCAGACGATGCTCTCCTCTAAACGCTCGTAAAATCTAGATTGACCAGTCCTAAATAGCCGTACTAGGCGCTAGGCGTAGTTAGGCGGCCTTACGGTACCGTCTAGGCCTAGCCCGCTACGCCTAGTCGGACTAGGCCAGAGGTTTATTTTTTAAACAGTGGTCGTGCATCTTCTCTTCCTCTCTCCCTACCCCATTCCCACCTGGCATCTCTCTCTCCTCACTTCAATCTCCGCCCTCTTTTCCCCCACCCCCATCCCTCCCCAGCAGACCCCTCCCACTTCCCCTCGCCACCTGCCAACTCCAAATTGCACGCTCAGCCCGTCCTTCACTTCCCTCCAACTTAAAAATGCCATCTCCTCTCTCACCAACCCCGCCGTCACATCTTCACCAAATGCACCACCTCCTTCACCCGTAGCTCCGCCCCCAGATCTACCGCCACCAACCCGAGCCCGACGACCGCCTGCACTGTCGTTGTCTCCTCCATCGCCCGCCAAACCTCTGCCCCCCGACGCACGGATCGGCCAAGCGTCCGACCGGCCCACACTCTCCCCTCGCCACGCGACGAAAGCCCCTTAGCACACCGTTCGAACCCAAAGCTCTCACCGCCTGTCCGCCCATCTCTGCTCAGAGCCTATCCGCTCCCGCCCTCGGAGCTCAAGCCAGAGCATCTCGAGCTCCGCCCTGCCAGCCGAGCCCCTCGACCGCTTCACCAGCCACACTCACGCCGCACGAGCTCCATCACCGCTTTGTTATCACCACGCCAGCAGAGCGGCGTCGATTGGGCGTTAGAGCGTGGCGAACGGAAGTGGGAGGGGATCTGTGGGAGGGATGGGCGGTATTCGCGAAAAGGGGGAGGTGAGTGAGGAGAGAGAGAAATGGCTAGGTGGGATGGGGTAGGGAGACGAGCGTGAGAGAGATGCACTTTAGTGAGTTCCCGATGCACTTTTCAACAACAATTTCTTCGCTAGCAAAGATCGACAAAAAAGGTGTTTGATTTGCAATGATTTCTCCTGAACGTCGATTTTGCAATTAATATTAAAAAAAAGTTGTTTTTAAAAAATGTCCCTTTTTTATTTTCTTAAAATCGCACCATTTTTTTATTATCAAAACCGGACCTGTTTTTGCCACGTCAGCCTAATCACCCTCCTAAATAGTGCCCCGGAGAGATTGCCAATCCGACTATCTTCAGGACATAAAATTTTAGGAGGTTTAGGCTTCTTAATGAGTTAACACCCTCCTAAATAGTCGGGGTTTGTAAGATAGCTCGGGTTAAACCCCGACTGTTTTAGTGAGGTGTGATTTTAGGCTGACGTGCTGTAAAAACGCGTTCAGTCTTTTGCGTAAATAAAAATAGGTCATTTTAAAATAAAAAAAAATGAAATGGGGCCTGTTTTGAAAAATTGTTCTTTTAAAAAACATTCACGGACCATTATTGTATAACCATTGTTTTATTCTGTTCTAGCTTTTCAAGCTGTCTGGATATGTTGAAAGTTTTTAGATTTGCCGCAGAAATAGAGAGGAAATAAAATCATGTTTGGGTAAAGAAAAAAAATTCTGATCTTTTTATCATTAACGCTATAATATCGTGCATGCTGATATCTTTCCAGACGTAAGAAGCATACCAAACTTCATTAAGAAATTAACGGTTGCATGCATGATTGTGTATGAGGGTCTTTTTTAATTTTTAGATGAGTAGTTTCTTGTAAGAGAGCGCATATATTTGTTATTTACCCATTTGTATGCTAAGGATTTTTCATAATATAAAGGTGTTATTTCTTCCTCTTTGCTACAGTATATTAGCGTGTTCAAAAAACTGATTTTGGATGCTTATAATGTTACGGAGCCCGCTATAGATGCGCCTAGGAGATCCATTGTATAAAAACGAGTGGGAGATAATGAAGGTAAAAATTCTGACGTTTTATGCTTTCCTATTATGTAGTATGTACTTAATGTCGTACCATCTCATATTGTTGCCGTCTATACAGGTTTTCTTAACCAGAAAGCATTACAGAAATAGACGAGCAAATGATCAGAGTTTGATGCTTATTATTGAAGAAATCTACTGTTAATGGCTGCGAAATGCTAAATCCATAACAAGGGCTAAAGTGTTGGTAATGAAATTTGTTACTGCCTCATTTGGTCATTTTTATGTGGAACAAAGACACAGCGTTTTTACAAACTTTGGCTATATACTTTGGCATATCACTACACAAAATCTATTCTAAAGCGATTTGAATCCTTATTCTTAGACAAATAGTTTTAGGTGTTCCAACTGAAAACAACACAAACTCTAATTGCGAATGCAGGATGCCACAATGCATGAGTGCCTACTTTGAAAGTGCAAACACGATTCTGCGGGTGCTTTCACCCACGAAGCATTGTTCTAATAATAGATATGATATTACTATATTGTACACCTGTAATATTATAATAGAGGCAACCAAGGAGAGGAAAATGAACGAAGGAAAAGCGAGTGTTAGTGAAAATTGGACTGCAGCGAGTTCCCTCAAAGTTTTCAGTTGATTTACTTTATCCCATGGTAACACAACTTGAATGTCAGCTTGATTTTTCAAAACTAATCATTCTCTAACCTACTAGGGATAAAAGCTATATAATACCAAGTAATGCATCGGAGCTTCACTTTCAATAAGATCTTTACGTGAACATGATTAGTGAATTTAAACAGAATACAAGTCCAAGAAAGCAACAAGTAAAGTTCTAATCGTGTAATAATTGGGAAATGATTTTCCAACAATATTTTGAATAATCGCTATTATGCTCTTTGCAAAATATCCAAGGACTTTTTCGTCTTTTCATTAATCCCCAAAATCTACCCAATTTTAGATAAAACGAACACTCGCTCTCACTGAACCCCTAAACCCTTCCCCGTCAAAATGAGAGCCCTCCTCCATCTCTTCTCCGCTCCTCCTCCGATCCCCTCCCCCAAAACCCTAACCCTAAAAAACCCTAACCCTAGCCTCACCTCCCCCTCAGCCTCCCTCCGCCTCCGCCGCCGCGCTCAGCACCTCCGCCGCCTTCGTCCCCAACGCCGACGATGCGCGGACGACTGCGGCGGCGGCGACGGACTACGAGATTGGGAGGAAGAAGAAGAGGCCGAGGAGCTCGACAACAAGAAGGACTACGACGTCGAGTACGACGCCTCCTTCGGCCACTTCTCTCCCGCCGCCGCCGCTGCCGCCGCTCGGCCGACGACATCGAGATGGTCGACAGCAAGAGCTTCGTATCGATCCAGGAGTGGGACGAGGAGACGGTGGTGGATTATAGGATTAATGAGGACGAGTTTCACAAGATCAGCTTGCTTCACTGTGATTTCTTCATTCGGAAGCCGCCGGATCCGGACAGTAATGTCTATGATTTTAGGGAGGTGAGTCTGGTTGAAAATATTGAATCTTTTTTATGATTGTTTGGAGGATGAAGGTTAATGATTTTTGTTGTGGTGTTTTTGTCGAATAGATGTACGTGACGCCGCCGGATATGGATGTGTACTCGATTCCTAAGGTTTTAGCTCCCATGCCGCAAAAGGTAAAGATCTTTGCAGTTTACTGTGATTACGGGAAATCTCTCTTTTTTAAAAAAATTTATCCATATCATGTTTTTCAAGGGATTTACCCATATAATATTTTTAAAAAGAACAATTTTTCAAAACAGCCCCATTTCATTTTTTATGGACAAAATTTTAAAAACAACCTTTTTTAAATATTAATTGGCAAAATCGACCGTTCAAGAAAATAATTGGCAAAATCGACCCTTTTGGGTCGCTTTTGCTACGAAGATACTTTGTTGAAGTGCACGGGACTACTAGTGCCGTGCACAATGTTACATTAAACGCTGGGCGCTTCTAGGCGTCGGACTTGGCGCCCAGCGCTTAGTCACCTAGGCGGGCGCCTAAGCGGTTTCTGGGCATTTTTTTTCTTTCTTTATTTAAGTGGTGGTCGATGAGGTTTTGCTGACGGTCGGAGGAGGTAGTGAAGGTGTTCATATTTGAAGGTTAATGGAGTTTTGGAGGACGTGTAGGCTACGACACATAAAATCACAATCAAGGCCTACAAGGTGCAATCCACGTAAGCAGACGATGCTCCTCTAAACGCTCGTAAAATCTAGATGACCAGCCTAAATACCGTCTAGGCGCTAGGCGCTAGTTAGGCGGCTTAGGTACCGTCTAGGCCTAGGCGTACGCCTAAGCGGACTAGGCAGAGGTTTTTTAAAACAGTGGTCGTGCATCTCTCTCCTCTCTCCCTACCCCCATCCCACCTGGCCATCTCTCTCTCCTCACTCATCTCCCCCTCTTTCCCCACCCCCATCCCTCCCCAGCAGACCCCTCCCACTTCCCCTCCCACCTCCAACTCCAAATTGACGCAGCCGTCCTTCACTTCCCTCAACTCAAGAAATCCATCTCCCTCTCTCACCAACCCGCCAGACCACCTTCACCAAGCACCACCTCCTTCACCCGTAGCTCCGCCCCAGATCTACGCCACCAACCCGAGCCCGACGACCGCCTGCACTGTCGTTGTCTCCTCCATGCGCCGCCAAACTCTGCCCCGACGCGGCGTGCCAAAGCTCCGACCGCACTCTCCCCTCGCCACGCGACGAAGCCCAGCACCGTCGAACCCAAGCTCTCACCGCCGTCCGCCCCTCTTGCCTCAAGCCTCCTCCGTCTCCTCCGTCGAGCTCAACCAGAGCATCTCGAGCTCCGCCCTCCAGCCGAGCCCCTCCGACCGCGTCACCAGCCCACACTCAGCCGCCACCCGAGCTCCATCACCGCTGTTGTTATCACCACGCCAGCAGAGGCGGCGTCGATTTGGGGTTAGAGGTGGGAAGGGAAGTGGGAGGGGTCTGCTGGGGAGGGATGGGGGTAGGGAAAGAGGGGGAGGTGAGTGAGGAGAGAGAGAGATGGCTAGGTGGGATGGGGGTAGGGAGAGAGGAGAGAGATGCACTAGTAGTCCCGTGCACTTTAACAAAATTTCTTCGTAGCAAAATCGACAAAAAAGGGTTGATTTTGCCAATTATTTTCTTGAACGGTCGATTTTGCCAATTAATATTAAAAAAAAGTTGTTTTTAAAAATGTCCTTTTTTATTTTTAAAATCGACCCATTTTTTTATTTATCAAAACCGACCTGTTTTTTGCCACGTCAGCCTAATCACCCTCCTAAATAGTCGGAGTTGCCAATCCCGACTATTTAGGACATAAAATTTTAGGGTTTAAGGCTTCTAATTGAGGTTTAACACCCTCCTAAATAGTCGGGGTTGTAAATAGTCGGGGTTGACAACCCCGACTGTTTAGGAGGGTGATTAGGCTGACGTGGTAAAAAACGGGTCGGTTTTGGTAAATAAAAAAAATAGGTCGATTTTAAAAATAAAAAAAATGAAATGGGGCTGTTTTGAAAAATTGTTCTTTTAAAAAACATTCACGGGACCATTAATTGTATAACATTGTTTTATTCTTCTAGCTTCAAGCTTCTGGATATTTGAAAGTTGATTTGGAGAAAAGAGAGGAAATAAAATCATGTTTGGGTAAAGAAAAAAATTCTGATCTTTTTATCATTAACCTATAATATCTGCATGCTGATATCTTTCCAGACGTAAGAAGAACCAAACTTCATTAAGAAATAACGGTTGCATTGATGATTGTGTATGAGGGTCTTTTTTTAATTTTTTTAGATGAGTAGTTTCTTGTAAGAAGAGGATATTTTGTTATTTACCATTTTGTATGTAAGGATTTTTCATAATATAAAAGGTGTTATTTCTTCCTCTTGTACAGTATATTAGGTGTTCAAAAACTGATTTTGGATGCTATAATGTTACGGAGCCGCCTATAGATGCGCCTAGAGATCCATTGTATAAAACTGAGAGGGAGATAATGAAGGTAAATTCTGACGTTTTATGCTTTCCTATATGTATGTATGTACTTAATGTCGTACCCATCTCATATTGTTTGCCGTCTATTACAGGTTTTCTTAACAAAGCATTACAGAAATAGACGAGCAAATGATTCAGAGTTTGTGCTTGATTTTGAAGAAATCTATGTTATTGACTCGAAATCTAAATCCATAACAAGGGCTAAAGTTTTGGTAAGAAATTTGTTACTGCCTTCATTGTCATTTTTATGTAGGAACAAAGACACATGCGTTTTACAACTTTGGCTATATATTTGGCCATATCACTACACAAATCTATTCTAAGGATTTTGAATCCTTACTTCCTTAGACAATAGTTTTAGGTGTTCCAACTGAAACAACACAAACTCTAATTGGAATGCAGGAGTTCCACAAGCATGAGTCCTACTTTGAAGTGCAAACACATTCTGGGGTGCTTTCACCAGAAGCATTTTTCTAATAATAGGATATGATATTACTATATTGTACACTGTAATATATAATAGAGGAACCAAAGAGAGGTTTTCTAATAATAGGATATGATATTACTATATTGTACACTGTAATATATAATAGAGGAACCAAAGAGAGGAAAATTGAACAGAAAGGAAAAGCGAGTGCTTAGGAAAATTGGAATGCAGGAGTTCCTCAAGTTTCAGTTTGTTTACTTTATCCCAGAGAACACAACTTGAATGTCAGGTGTATTCCCTACATTTTGTATTGTTCATATAACAGTAAGATGTATAGTTTGGATCATTTTACGTAGAAAGATCTCCAGCTGAACACTGATGCACATGGAATGGACTTCTGCAACACATGAAAAGATTTACAACTTTGGACTTTGTTTGAAAAAAATGGAATTAATAGGGGAATGAGTATTTGAATTTTGAAACGTAGAGATTTAAAGCAAAAAATTTGAAAACTGGTGTTCCTGTCAAACCTTATGTCTTGAAACAATATGCGCGCACGCACGCACATATACATATGTATATACAGACGTGAAAAATTATTGACCACGATTTAAGCTGGTAAAATGATCCAAACTATGCAACTTGATGCTATATGAAACTCTAATGGCCAAAATATCGCTGACGAAATTGTGGAAGTTCAAATTCAATTATCATGTAACTTGTAACTTAAAAGGTAAGCTGAATGCGTAAGGCTTATGCCAGTGCGGGACTGGGGGGACCAATATATGCAGCCTTACCTATATGCATAACGAAATCGCTACTTCTGATTAACGTTCTCTCCAGAGATCATGATATGGAAAATTTTAACATTGTGCTCAGGCTCATTTAAGATCTGAAATAGTTGCATAGCAAATATCATTAGCACTTCTTTTTATCTTAAATCCGCTCCGTGAAGCTTCTCATATCTCTTTTTAGATAAAGTAACGCAGCTTTTCGATGAGAGTACTTAATGGCTCATTTAAAAATCTGCTTTGGCATTGATAGGTGACGGTTCCTGGAGGAAGAACTAGGGATAGGAGGAATGATCTGTTAATCATTCGAGATGGTGGAAATTCCTTCAAGATTATTGACAAGGTTACCCGCTTTTCCTCGGTGTAAATTACTAAATTTGTTTAGGGAAAAATGCTTCCAGCCCCCAAAAGCCAAGTGAACGTGTTTCCCACCCCCAAGACTTGGTCAATAGGTGTTTTACCCCTAAAAATAAAAATTTTGTTCTCTGAGCCCCCAAAACACAAAACCCAAGACATTAAAACATGTGAAGACCATAATACCATTCTCTCTCTCTTTCTTTTTTTATTAAAATATGATGATGATTATTTTATTATTTCTCTCTCTCTCTCTCTCTCTCTTTATCATGATGTACCAAGAGGATCTTTAGATAGGTAACCCTAACAATTAAACCCGTAACCTTAACAATTAAACTCGTAACCTTAACAATTAAACTCGTAACCTTAACAACAAATCCGTAACCTACACAATAAATCAACAACCTTAACAACAAACCCTTAACCTTAACAACCAACCCGTAACCTTAACAATCAACCCGTAACTTTAACAACCTCCCAATACAAACAACCAAAATAATAAAAAACGAAAATAATAAAATAATCATCATCAATCATTTCAACTATCCTCTTGGTACATCATGATAAAGAGAGAGAAAAAAAAATAATAAAATAATCCTCCATCATATTTTAATAAAAAAAGAAAGAGAGAGAGAAGGGTATTATGGTCTTCACATGTTTTAATGTCTTGGGTTTTGTGTTTTGGGGGCTCAGAGAACAAAATTTAACAATCAACCCGTAACTTTAACAACCTCCCAATACAAACAACCAAAATAATAAAAAACGAAAATAATAAAATAATCCTCATCAATCATTTCAACTATCCTCTTGGTACATCATGATAAAGAGAGAGAGAAAACAAAAATAATAAAATAATCCCCATCATATTTTAATAAAAAAAGAAAGAGAGAGAGAGGATTCACAACCTTAACAACAAACCCTTAACCTTAACAACCAACCCGTAACCTTAACAATCAAATCCACAACCTTAACAACAAATCCACAACCTTAACAACAAACCCTTAACCTTAACAACCAACCCGTAACCTTAACAATCAACCCGTAACTTTAACAACCTCCCAATACAAACAACCAAAATAATAAAATACGAAAATAATAAAATAATCCTCATCAATCATTTCAACTATCCTCTTGGTACATCATGATAAAGAGAGAGAGAAAACAAAAATAATAAAATAATCCCCATCATATTTTAATAAAAAAAGAAAGAGAGAGAGAGAGGATTCATAACCTTAACAACAAACCCTTAACCTTAACAACCAACCCGTAACCTTAACAATCAACCCGTAACTTTAACAACCTCCCAATACAAACAACCAAAATAATAAAAAACGAAAATAATAAAATAATCATCATCAATCATTTCAACTATCCTCTTGGTACATCATGATAAAGAGAGAGAAAAAAAAATAATAAAATAATCCTCCATCATATTTTAATAAAAAAAGAAAGAGAGAGAGAAGGGTATTATGGTCTTCACATGTTTTAATGTCTTGGGTTTTGTGTTTTGGGGGCTCAGAGAACAGATTCTTTATTTTTAGGGGTAAAACACCCATTGACCAAGTCCTGGGAGTGGGAAGCATGTTCACTTGGCTTTTGGGGGCTGGAAGCATTTTTCCCATTTGTTTATTGTAAATCTGCTAACCCCTGTAACTGGATTTAGGCACAAAGGGATGATCCAACTACTGTAATCGAGAGAGAGGAGTGGGTCAAGACTAGGCAGGACATGGAGAAGCATTTAAGCAAGCTTCGAGATTTCAGTGTCTCAAATTGGTTCTAATAGGCTAATAAATTCATTGCGTACGCGTTAAAAGAAATATTTTAGACCATACAGGAAGCAATGATTCCTCGTTCGTACGATTCGATATGTTTAATTATTTGTATATTAGCGCAGGGGGTGAAATTCTCCCTGCTGTAGTTGGCGAGGCGGGCTTTACAGTTTGGTGTAAATCGTTTCTAAACGGCTCAAGGTTTTTGGCAAATTTTTGTACGCATCCAAAATCTGTTTTCTCAAATACTTGGGTTCCCTCACTTTTACTGATATCCCTTAAATTAAATCACGTTGAGGTCATGCGCATTTTGCCATCCGATTTTCTCGCAAGCATCTAATAAAAAAAATTACCTAATTGCACGTTTGGTAAATTTATAATGGCAAAAAGTCGTATGGGGCAGGGGAAAAAAAGAGTACCAAGCTGATAAAAGATGTATTACCAAAAAGAGTACCAAGCTGATAAAAGATGTATTACCAAAAAGAGTATCAATTTAGTAATTTAACCCTCACAGAACGCTAAAGGCTCTCTTAATCTTATTACTGAATTCTTGTACTGAGCAATGAAAAGAGAGGAACAAAATGAAAAAGGTGGTCAGGGGGCATGCACCCATAAAAACTGGAGGGTCGAGAATGACTTGAAAACTAAAAAAATCATTTTATTTTCAGCATGTGTAACCATTTAATTTACTATACATGGTAATACAAGATGATGACAATGATAATGTTAGTTATTAGTGTACACGGTTCGATCTCATATTTCCTCATTTTGTGTACACCCTGAACTTTGGATGAAAACAGCATTATGCTACAGACTGGCGAGGTAAAACGGCAGGCTTCATCCTTCGAGTATCACGAAAGGTCGACAAAAACTGTAGCCTGCCCGCCCCGCATAAAAAAATAAACAGTTTGATTAATCTCGGTTCAGACTCTGACTTGCATGTTCTCCTGCATCTGACCTATTAATAGCAGAGGTCCAGGAAGAGCCACGCCATCGGATATTCTCAAATAGTGGCATCAGGTGGAATTGACCGCCTGTGTTGTTGCAGCTATAGCAGGGCTGAGTTCAGCAGCATCTTCGGCGGCAGATCTCAGTATCTCATGTTTTTTCCTTGCACTTTCCTTTCTTCGGTTGGCTTCAAGGACAATTAGGAGAGCTGTGATGTCCGCTGCGACTCACCCCGCCTACTCTGCTGCTTGGGCCTACAGTTTGTGGTCTGACCTGCAAATGGAGAATCCCATATAAAGATGGGGTTTCAAGCCTTACACCTCGCCTCACCAGCCGATTTTGCGCGCGTAATCTAAGCTTCCTCTTCTTAAAGTCTATGTTCTTGAGTTATGCTCTTTCTTTCTGTGAATAGAATGGTTTAGACATGTTTTAGGCCCACCCCCCCCCCCACCCCCCCCACCCCCAACACACACACACACACACAAAAACCAAAGAAAACCACCACCAACAAAAAAAAACCCACAGAAAAGAAAAAGAAAACAATTGAATTAAAGAGAGCTTATTTACAACAAATACTGACTGACATGTTTTAGACAACTTTGTCGTTATCTACTTAGTATATCTGCTGCATTTCTCTCTTCTCTCCTACTTGCAAGAATAAAGGGTAATTTAGAACTTTAACCCATCACATTAATGCCATTTATGACAATTTCCAATATTTCACGGGTGGTGAGATTGTCTCTTTATTTTACTTCTTGTACTTCTTGCTTCATTAAACACATGCAAAAAGCATACACTACTAACATATAGAGGAAATCAGAAAGGTAACCACAATTTCCCAATTAACTTGCAGTAATTGAATTGGTGCGGTACGCTAAACTTTTTAAGGTTTTTTCATTGGACGGTAGTTTAAATAAGCATTCTTGAGGATGCATACCTTGGAAAGTTTTTCCCGAGCTTCGTGAGATAAGTTTGTCATTGAATGGTAATCCAAGTCCTCAGGAAGCGGTTTGTGATGCTGATTGACAATCTAAATATAAAAAAATGAATTAGCAGTCAGTAATCCTGAAATTCAGCACAAATGCACACATATATGTATGTATAATGTGGGGATATTGCTGTCATCTCATTTAGAATTGCCACTGAAAGAATTGGAGAAAAAAATTAAAAAGCACAAAATGTACAGTAATAGATCCATTTGGAAAAGACTGCATGTGCATTTATTTAGAATTTTAGACTCTTCTGGTGCATACATACTGAAACGTTGATCAGCAGCGTCTACTGAACCCTTATTTACGTCATGATAAGTTTACACCAAAATCAACTAATGCTAAAACAGCATAGTTCTCGGTGTGTGCATTTAGACCATCATGATGCATGCACATCTCATGTGCAGTTTTAAATATTTTTTGCGTGATATTGTGAAACAAATAGAAAAAACACCCATAATGTCAGACATCATGTTTGTTATAATGTCAACACAAAAGCAAACATGCCTAAATAAGAAAGGTCTAATGATCAATCAGGCGTCGCCTAACCTGTTGAAGTTGGCTCTGCTGCCGTAGAATGAAGCCCTCATACTTGATATCAATCTCTACACATTCTTTCTCAATCTTGGACAGAAGCTTGTTTCCATATCCATGCTTGTCAAGAACTTCATATTGGATATGTGGTTTCTTAAGAAGACTTTCTAGCGTACAAGAGTATTTGACCGGTTGTCGAGATAGAAGAGTAACCTCAGCAGCCAATTCTCCTCCATCTATATAGTCAATGTAGTAACATCCATCAGGAATATGTAATTACAAAGTGAAACATAAGCAATTTTAGAAGTTGTCAGATGGCCCTCGAAAAAAAAAACTAAATATGCTTCTATCCACAAAGTAGGGAGTCAAAAACGAAAGGACAATAGGATGCAAGCTTAAATAATTCATTGAAGTACTTTGTTTTTAAATGACAGAACAGTAACCTGACACACGCACAGTCTTCAAGCGTCTTTTTTCCTCCAAAATACGGGCTTGCTTAGATTCATACAGCTCCCAACGTCTATCATCTATTAGACCAATCTCCCTCGCGAAAGGAGTTAAACGGCTATCCGCATTGTCAGCACGTAAAAGCAACCGGTGTTCTGAGCGGCTAAGGAAACAAGAGGCCATATGAGAACAGAAAATGTATGCATTGAAACAGTAGGGACAATGAAGCACAAACTCAAACTTGTACAAGATTCATGATCACAGACTCAACCTTGTAAAAGATTCTTGTCAACTAAGATATGGGTCAACCATTTTACACATTGTTTTTGCATTAATTAAAAGATACCTTGTCAACATACGGTATGGCTCACGGAGATCTTTCGTAACAAGATCATCAATCAAAGTCCCTATATAGCTGCTTTCTCTCTCAAGAACGATAACAGATTTACCATGTGAATGTCTAGCAGCATTAATTCCAGATAAAAGACCCTTTAAAACAAGTAACAGAAAATAAGTGCCAGCTGGAAACTAAAGAAGAACAATAACTTATTATACAAAGCATCAGCATGGAGATTCATGTGTTGTATATACTTAATTGAATTACTGAAATGGTGCATTAATGGTAGAAAAAAATCACCAAAATTTTATACAAGCAAGCATAAAAATGGAAGAAGTAAAACCTGAGCAGCAGCTTCTTCATAGCCTGTTGTTCCATTAATCTGACCTGAGAAAAACAATCCTTCAAATTTTTTTGTCATCAGAGACCTAGAACACTGATAGGCTGGCAAGTAGTCATATTCCACTGCATAAGCTGGTCTTAGCATCAGGCAGTTTTCGAGGCCAGGCAAAGTTCTCAAAAGTGCTAACTGCAACCTCTCAGGTAAGCCTGTCGAAAATCCCTAATTACACGAAAAGAAACTTTCAAGTATCACAAGAAGATTGCACTAAACATTAAAAGAAATCTGAAGTACACCAACCAGAAACTAGCAAAATGTATTAACTAACTCGTACAAAAATAAGTTTGTAATTGCAAGTTCACAACAACAATTTAGTCCTCAATTTACACAAGGTAACTGGTAATACACTATATTTTGCTTTCTATGTAGAAAAACAATAATGAGCAAATAACTAATGTCCGAGGCACAATTTAGTTATCTTAAGAGCATAAATGTATAAAACTGGTAGCAACAAGAATAGTAGTAGACCATTCCTTAGTATAGAACTCCATACTACTATAACTAAGGAAAAAAGAAATACCTGCACATATAGCTCAGGGACATTCCGACCCTCAGGTTCAAGAAAAATCTGATGGGAATCTTTATCTGCAAATCTCACTATCTAAAAGAAAAGGGAAAAAGTTAAATCTGCTTAAGCAATTAATGTTTTAATACCAAAAACATATTTAGAAATTATGTGACAAAAGATGTAGCTCTTTCCTGAGGTATAACTATCTTCTCCAGCCTTTGTTAAATAGCTAATTTAACATAAACCAAAGGTAAAAAACGAACAATTTTTTCAAGAGGTGTATTATTTGATAATAACAAAATCAATACTCATATTAGATTATTTTACTTGTAATATTGGAAAGGAAAATTACGGAACTGTCAACAGAGAAGCCAAATAAAAATTACAGTTTGTAAATGCTTGATGTCAATTTATCATTCAGGTACTTCACTCCAAGATTTGAGCGTAAGATTGTTCAGGTAGCAAGGTTTCCATCATTGAATTACAAATGCAGTCAAATGGAACCATTGAAGAAGTTCTGCAACATCGCTATAGGTATTTTGTATTTTGCATGACAATATTCCAAGAAGCAAACTGCAGTATGTACCTTGTCTTCAATAGCAGGGCAGTATCTTGGCCCTTTCGCTTCCACCCAACCACCATATGTTGGTGTTTCATGCAAGTTGTCTCTGATAATCTGGTGTGTTTCTTTTGTTGTGCGTGTCAAGTAGCAACACATTTGCTCCCTTTCTATGTGGAAATCAGGATCAAAGCTAAACCAATTTACCTGTTCAAAACAGCTGGAAATCAATTCAAAAAAATAATAAATAGAAAAAATCATGGTCTGCCCTCAATGAGAAGAAGAAACCTTTGGTACTTAAATACTATTCTCTTACTAAACCTTTGATATTTACTGCCAAATCCCTTGATACCTTATTAAACTATTCTCAAGGTGAAAGTGAAGTAGTAGGTGTGGAAAAAAAATCAACATGGTTCAAAAGTGTGCTACTGAATTGTGGGTAGCTACCAGTGTGCATGCATGTTTTGGTAGTGTATAGCAGGCTAAGATTCATGGATACGGGTACCAGTATGGGTAGGGGACATGGGCCATTACCAATTTTATAAAAGGTAGGGTACAGGGAGATGGCTAAAACGCATGGGCTGAAATCACTGTTCTGACCAGATAAACAAATGGCGCTTCCAAACCGGTAGTTATGAACTGAATATATGTTGAAATGAACCCGGCCCTTACCAAGAAACGCCTGCTGAGCGTTTTAAATTAAAAAATGTATTGTATAATTGAGTACACGTTGGAATAAGTGTATGGCTATATGCAACACAGTGTGTTGAAGAAGTATTGGGTATGGATATTGGTACGGGTATGGGTGCAAGATGTGTTCGGGTACGGGTACAGCTTCATGATAGAAGTACCCACACAACATTGATCCTTGGTCAAAGGTAATAACTCGAAATATTTAAAAATGCATGACCTAATAGGAACTAGTCTCCTAAGCTAATGTGAGGTCAATTACCAACTCATCTCCATGCTGTGGTTCCAAACCAGAAAAATCAACAGTACGGAAGTCAACACGTGCAGGAGTGCCAGTCTTCAACCGATCAGTTTCGAACCCCATGTTCTGCAAGCTTTCAGTCAGTCCATGTGAAGCTGACTCTCCAGCTCGTCCTGCAGGCATTGAAGTTCTACCAACCCAAATTTTACCACTCATAAAAGTTCCAGTGGTCAGTACAACAGATGAAGCATAGAAATCCATGCCGAAAAATGTACGAACACCTTCCACATTGTCATTCTTGCCTATCATAATCTCAGTGACCATAGCCTCTCTAATAAAAAGATTAGGGGTGCTGCAATAAAATAATTAGAATCAGTTGGACTGCAGAAAATGTCTAAGTACTCAGTTAATATTTGCTGAAAAGATAGGATTATTTGAGGACTATATTATAGTCTTATAATCAGTAGATGCAGTACATAGGAGAGAAGGAACCAATTTATAGTGGATATTAGGGAAAGGCAACAATACTAGAAAATAAAATTATCATTAACATATCATCGTAGCAACATAGGCATTTTTTCATTAAACAAGAAATAAAAGAATGCATCTAGCTTCGCTGAACTGTCTGTCCAATCGTCGGTTTAAACAGTGGTCACTGTTGCCCATTCCATCCATTCTTTTCCATGGAAATAAATCAATTTTGGATAATTACAAAGTTGACATCATTATCCATAAAATCGACAACCAAGCAAGAAACTTTCTGGAAAGTCTGATTACTTTCCAGTCCTTTTGGCTAGCAACAATTTCCCAAGTCTCTAACACCTCTGCATGGTTAATATCGCAGGCTATAGCTGAAGATTAAAGCATACATGTCTTGGCATCAGGAAGCAAAGAACAGTTGGTTTTTCAGTGGCTTAACATTCTAAGACAACTATCCTTAACTTTTCTAACAAAGGGATTATTCATCCGATTCAATAGTTTTGCATTAACTCAATTCAAATATAGGGACAAACATGCTTCACCTAGAAGTAGACCACATCCTACATTCAGCAGCGCATATTATAGTTTGGCATCAAAAATTAATATGCATTTTATTTTCAAGCAATTGTTATTGCATTCTATACCGCCTAGGTAGGAAAATGCCACCTGCCTACTATAAAAAATACATGAGACCAGCAAACTAAATAAATAGTTTTGCTGCAAGTGAACAAACCTCTCAATAACTTTTTTCATTTCCATTGCATATTCTCTCTTATCGGTCTGAGCACGCAATGCACGGACAGCAGGCCCTTTTGAAAGGTTTAAAACACGCTTCTGTAAGTAACACCTGCAATAACATGGAAAAAGAAAAACTCAGGATTGTCAAAACGAAGAATGTCCAATCAAAATGACACAGGCAGAAGTTAAGATTTTCAAAGCAAAACAGCAGATGATGACTCACAACTAGTAATGCCCTTGTATTTAGACTGTGAGAACAATTACCCACTTCCCCTATTGGATGGAGGGTAGAGAGTGGGAGGGGAAGAGAAATCTAATTTTAACCTTGTTTGGGAGTTCCATTTAGGCAGGTAGAGGAGGGGAAATTTTGAGCCAAAATCTTACACCCCAAATTGGGGTGTAATGAAGGGGCTAAGTCATCTCCCAAACACACTTTAAAAGTTGGCCTATAATAGGTACTACTATTTAGTACCAGATCAATTGCTTATTACTAGGTACCCCTAAAGAGGGAATAGGCTAATTAATCAGGCTATCATAAATGGACTAGGTACCCCTAAAGAGGGAATAGGCTAATTAATCAGGCTATCATAAATGGATATGCTTGGTTTTAAGGCAAATGAAGATGAAGATATTGGCGATACTATGAATGGCTAATCTAGACACTCTAATAGCCTCCCATCCCATCCTGCATATCCTAATCTCTCCCAAACTTCATTCACTACTGGTACCAGGTTCACGTCTATTAGATAATATATATAGAAATAGAGTAAAAGGAGCTACATGCATAAACATGTCTGGAACTTCTTACCTGAAAGTTAAAACAGCGGATAGGCTCTTGCTGCAACCTAGATACTATAGGTGGATTTCTTATTTTACCCAAAAAGAAGACAACAAGTTACAAATTCTAAAACATTTTGTGGTATGTGTCCGTGCAGTATCTTGTACCGATATCTACCCTAGCATTTAATTTTTATGGATGTTTTAACATTCTTAGATTTCTTCCTACATTCTGGACAACCATCATTATGATCTGCATTGCATCGGTAAGCAGATATCAGCATTGGTTGAAGTACCATTAAGACCACACACCTGAGTCTTCTATACCTAAATTAAACATTGCACAAGTGTCAGGACTTCAACATCGAACATTTACAACATGGTTAACACATGCGAGTACATCACACTACAAACCCTACAAATTAACCAATCATCGGATAATTGCACCTAAGAATAAACATGCAAATATCAGTTTCATACTTATCAGCCATTTTCCCTATCTCCCCACCGAGCGCATCAACTTCATGAACCAGCTGAGACTTCGCCGGACCACCAACTGCCGGGTTACAAGGCTGTGTACATCATCAAACAATTTTTTTAAAAAAAATTGTTGCTTTCGTATCACAAAGTGCTAAAGGAGCTAAATTTGGGAGTAAATCTAATTAGAAATTGAACCTGCCATGCAATCCGATCGAGGTTGAGAGTGAGAAGCAAGGTCCTGGCGCCAAGACGAGCAGAAGCGAGAGCAGCTTCGCAGCCAGCGTCCAGCGTGGCCGCCACCGACGACGATGACGTCGTAACTCTCTCCGTCGGCGACGCCATCCTTGACATCTTGCGGCTTCGAAATCGAAGAAAAGACGCGGGTTTTAGGAGTTCGACGAGGGTTAGGGGTTGAAAAGAGGCGCCTTTGATTTAGGGCAAACGATGCCGAGATCGAGCGCGGGAATAGAGCGACGAAGGAGAGGCGACGACAGAGGAGGCGGCGGGGGAGAGAGAGAGATTGGACTCAAGCGGAGCAGCATGGCTACAGTTTGCCTTGAGACAGTTGGGTGCAGATAAAATGGATCTTTGTTTCTAAGATACCCCAAACGTTTATCCTCATTTAATTTAAGGCCCCTCACTTCCCAAATAAAAAAAGAGCATTCTTGAAGGCCCATTATCCTACAACTACAATGAATCCTTTTTAAACTGTTTCTACGATACGATGATTTAAAAAAAATCCTCCGCCTAGTCTGCTAGATGTATCTTAAGCCTAGGCTTTTCATTTAGGTTGTGCGCCTAAGGGAGAATGACCTACTTATGTAGATAACACTCTTTAGGCTTTCTTTAGGCTTTGCTCGTGATTTCATTCAGTGTAGCCTCCACACCCTCTGGCCTCCTTCAAAATCTAGATATGAACATCTCTTCTACATTCTCTGATCTTCAGCAAAACCTCATACGCCACTATTTAAACAAAGAAAGAAATCTGCCTAGACTCTAGTCCAAATACCTAAGCTTTCTATAACGTTGATATTTACTATCAAGTATTATAATTAAAAAATAAAAAAATAGAAAAGATGCCTAGACCGGCTAGTGCTTTTAAGTAACCTTGTTATGCTATACTAAAGGGCTGTTTGTTTGCGATTTGGGTAGGGGGAAAGCCTGCCAAAAGTGCAGCTTTGAGGCGATTTGGGTGGAAAGTCTGTCAAAAGTTACACTTTTGGCAGGGTTTTGACAAGCTTTTCAGCCATTTCCCCCTAAAAAAACCTCTTTCCAAACAGCCCCTAAATGCATTGGTTGCAATAATCGGAGTGTCAGTAGCCATATTTGGGTATAGGTTGCTATATTTGTGCCTAAGAATTGGGTTTGAAAATAGCTCAGCATGAGTACTTCGAATTTAAGAATGATTTTAAAAGTGTCTTGTGTTTAAAAAATAAATCAAGATAGAGCAATCTTACATTTATAACCAAATTAACCTTTTAAAATATTGCTCTAATTTGGTAAACAAATTTTATAAAGTTCCAACATTTTTTATAAATTCAAGAAAATACATTCGTACCCAAGTTGAGTCATTTCCTAAGACAGACATTTGCATCTCAAAAGTCATAGCTAATTTCTCTCCGGCTTATACATAAAATTTGAATCAATGATGAGATGCAATACACTAAATAAAAGAAGAATATCTGTATCTCTGATAACTGTAGCAGATTACAACCATCACAAGCAGGGGGGAATAATTATTTCACTGGAAATGTTTATTTCACTACGCAGCATACTAACAATGAACAATATGATCTGTATCTCGAAGTAATCATAATTAAGGCATTTGATGAAACAACATAATTATTTTCAGCATACAAATGAGCATTAATTTCTTTTTTTTTTCCCTGAATCACCAACATTTGCTCATGAGAAGAATTTGTAAGTACTTGCGCTTTTGATTATCGACCTCAGTCCTCCAATTGGCGCCAAGACCGTCAACAGAACTCCCACAATGATGCAGAACTGAAGAACAAAATTATAAGAGATAAATCTTTTTTTTTTCTTGAAAACATTTCAGAAACTGTAAAAGCAAAAAAATTGCCATAGAAATTTAATTCTTACCCAATTTATGAGCCAAGATAAGCTAAACTTTTGGGGTTTTTTAATAGCAAGCCACATTATGCATGGGAGCTGTCAAAACAATTTACATAGTTCAAAATTTCATCTTGTTGTCAGGGACCATCAAATACTGCAAAGTTGAGTAGATTTTGACTTACATAATATGTAGTTGGCGCGAACGCAAATCCACCGAAAAACCCAAGGAGTCCCCCAAAGAAAGGGATGCATATTCCGATAATTATCGTAAATGCTATTCAAAACATACCAAAAATGAATTCAATTAAAAGAAAAATAGCATGCATATAATTATCAGAGGAAAAGATCATTACCAACATAAGCACTCCTCGCAAGCAAACGAAGAGTAAGTCCCGGTGGTAGCCTGAATTTCTTAACAAGAACTGTTTCTATCATATCGAACACTGGCATAGCATAAATCTGTAGAAAAAGTTAGTACAAATATTTTTCTTTTTCATTTTTATTCAGTATATGCACTCAGTTCTTCTTTTTAATTACCTGATAACTTCCAATGACATGAACAACAACCATCATATTAGCCACGGCAATAATCCACCTCGGCTTCTCCAGCGTAATAAGAATATTATCTTCGACGGAATTACCAAAAGCCCAGTATCCAACCAAGGCAACAGGAAAATAGCAAATGGCAACGACGATATAAGCGACTACAACACCCTTCCACATTGGTTTTTTTGAGGGGTTTTCAGGTGAAGATGGAATTGTTGCTTGGATCTCAAGAACAACGTTGTGGCCAGCGTAGGCGAAGGCGACGTCCCCCAATGCGCTTAGAAATCCGAAGGTTGTTCCTGATGCTGTTGATTCTTTGTAGCCGTAGTCTACGTTTGGTTGTTGCCCTTTGTGAACAGAAGCCGCCCAGGCGATGGTCGAGTAACTGGCAAAGAATTTTCAGGTTTGCGTATGATATCAGAATGCTAAATTAATTTTGCATAATCTATACTTATCAGAACAGTTTCATATACCTATTAATGAAAATTAAGTTACTGAGAATAATTTGTTCTAGTTCATGTAATATACATTATACTTTCTGGTAGAAAGTTTATATTTATGTGAATATATGAAAGAATAGCAAACAGATGCTCAATTCAGAAAACAGGCTTATAACAGCTAGTTATTTCGATTAATCTAATTTCTTAATGATAAATATAAGAATGGTAAGCGAACTGTATGTAACGTAGTTACCAAGTCCCACATGCTCATTGAAAACTAAATTACAGATAACAATGTTCTCTAAATGTTTGTGGATTGAAAACTATACTTTGTGAATATATGAAAAACAATAGAACTCATTTTCGCAATTGAAACCTGAGAGACATGACAGCAGCAGCAAGAGACACCCCAGAAATCGAATTAAAGTTAGGAAGTTGCGATAACACAAAATGGCACGATCCAAATATCACGATGAAAAAAGAGAGCTTGATCGATTTGCAATCTGGACAGACCACATCATGGAATTTCTTGAGAGATTTCCCTCCAGTGACCATATAGACAATATTTACTCCCACTTCAACGACGAGCTGTTGAGGGACAACGATCCAAAGGCCGAGCTTATCTCCAAATGCATATTGACCGAGCTCATGGTATCGATCAAATCGCTTTCCAGGTACCATTTCGTGCATTTCGACCATTTGCCATAGAGTGTAGAGGGTTATGATCCATGAGAGGATAAGTACAGCGACACCAGGGCCCCTAAAAAATGAAATTTGTAGCTTGAAAGAATTAGATCAAAACATTAAATTGTTAGAGTTATTATATCTATATTGATCCTTATTACCATTATTTTGAATGGCATATTGATCATTGTGGTAGTTGAAAATGTACTCATATCAATAAATTTGAAGGGGGGAAAAGAAGAATTTGAGAAAATCTAAGGTTTACATAAGTGAGAGTGTATTTTATACCATCCAAGTTGTGCCAAAGCATAAGGCAAGCTGAGGACTCCTGCACCAACCATAGCAGTGACATTGTGAAATGCTGAATACCACCATTTTGCATCTCTTGATGATGTTATTGGCAGCCAATCATCAAGTTTCTTCTCAGCTTGGACCTATGTTTCATATAAGCCATTAATCCCATTAAGCATCAAAATCATCATCAAGCTTTAATACTAATACTCCATAACTTGAATTCAGAGCTAATTTAGATCTACATATTAGTACTTCATGTTATTGTATTTCATGTTAGAATTCCTCACCAACTTAGAGTGTTCTAAAATAATTTTCTAGAACTTCTTTCTAGTAACATCCTACGAAATATCTACCAAGACGTTTCTAGGAAGATACAAGTGTATGGCTAGTATTTATTCTTCTAGAAACTTCTTACTAATGTATGACTAGGATTGATTCTTCCACACAATTCCTAGCCATCTTAAGCAACTATAAAAATAGGGGTCTTGGGCTCTCATTTGTGTAATCAAGCAAGAAGTGAGCTTGAGAGCTTGAGTGTGTAGTGTAGGCTTGTGTGAGTGTCCACCAAAATAAGAGAGTTGTGTGAAAGTGAGGTGTTCTTGTAAGAGCAAGTGTTGTACTCTCTAGTATTCTATCAATAAAAGTTTCCTTTGTGTAGATAGTTGTATTCTCCAAAAACCAACATTTCAGGGTTTAATTTAAGGTTTGGATTCTCTTTACTGTAAAAAAGGTAGTGGAAAAACTGTTACTTTTAACGACAACCGGCTATTGTTTATTAAATGATTCATATCCCCGTATATTATGCTCATTCTAAATTTTCATTGAAGATTAATCACAGCTGTCAATAAAATAACATATTGTTGTGACTATAAACTATAGCTTCCCTTCACAACTATTTGGTAGAAGATAGAATCCAAATCTATCTTAAATGGAATGAACAAAGTATCCACATTTGTCAAAAATGGGAATTAAAAAAGCAGATTTGTATGTTCTGAACCTAATTGGTTAAGACTTCGGTATCCATATTTAGGAAAATTTTATATGTTTTGTTTAAGGGCTACGTACAGGGACACATAACTATAGACAATAACTCATAGTTGTTATCTATGTCACTCATAAAATATTATCCAAAAAAAGCCAAATTTGATTAAATTATTATATCTGCCGGCACATTGAAGTATCCGAAATGGGCTTCTTTCAAGGATCATCTCCTTGGCGTGACATTTTCGTACTGATTGCGTGACATTTGGTCTTTTATGTATACTTTTTCAATTTTAATAGAAAATAGCGAGGCAAAAAAAATAAAGAAAATTAATCATAATAAATAAGGAGATATAATAAATTCTCCAAAACACAGACAACAAAGAGCTTCATTTATCCTATGAACAAAAAAAATTTGTGTTCATTGTGAGAAAGTGATTGGAATTACTATAATAGCGAACTATTCAGGCTCCTTTCTTGTATTCTATTTTCTCAGAATTTTAATTATACAATTGATGGGTGCTAAAATTGGAAAGAAATTGAAATAATTTTATTTATTACATTTTTTTCATGATATAGGCATGAATTCAAAGAGCACATGGAATTTTAATTGGAGAAGGACAAAAAAAAAATGACAGAATTGAGATTTTGCTATCACAGTCAAATAAAAAAAATGTCTGCATCTTTTCATTTACATTTCTGTTTCCTGTGCAATATGGGAAAGCACTTTGAGCTTTTTACAACTGAATTTTTTTTTTTTTTTTACAAAATAATAACAATGAGTACAACTCTCAGCATATCAAAATCAGAAATAGTTTAGCTAGCCCTCCTTTCAATTTTCAGTTTTCTAAATAACCAAACAATAATAAAAAAAAAGTTAAGACACTACACGAGTACAAAAGGCAATTTACTCAGAAAAATATAGAAGCATAATTGTACTATTATCCAATCAACGTTTATAATACTATCGATCACAACCATCTATTGTTTTGTTAACGATATTATGATGAATTTAAAATCTAAGCATATTTTCATGTAGTACACTTATTTTCATTTTTCACTCGAGACTAATTATAATAGTACACTAAATAATAAGAAACTGTGATTAAAAGTAGTGTTTTCTCCTCTACACACCTTTTGATTGTCCAAGTTGAGCTCCTCTTGCGAGAGATTATTGCGGACTCCAATATCTTCACCTCCCATAGCTCAAAACTTTGAAAAAAAAAAACCAAAAACTTTGAAAAATGGCTATGTAGGAAATGCAATAGAAGGATTCTAGACGAACATAAATATAGGAGATATTATATTATTATATATGTTAGCGGATCAAAAGAGACAACAAGCATGGAAAGAAACGGTAGTAATAAATAAAAAAATTGCCGTCCGAAGATTCAAAGAATCAAAGCTCTTTGTGACGTTTGGGGGATTTCATTTGTATATGGAAAGTTCAGTAATTATTGCTTTCTTCAATTCATGGATATTTTTTTTTTGAATGTGGGTGCAAATTTAGTAACGCAACCAACTGGCATTTGGTAATTGCAAGGAATTGGCCATTTGTAGATTTTAGTGATACTAGAATAATGCACGTGCATTGCACGTGGATATTTTTTGTTCGATGAAGTATGTATAAATATTTTATAAATTATTTTATTACAATATTATAAAAAGAAGTAGGTTATACTTTTACGAGTAGTTATACTATTGTTAAAATTCACTTAATAGTTACTTAAATTAGCTTATTATTATGGTATTAAACAATTTATTTAAGAGTATAATTATTAAATAATAATATAATTATTAGTTTAAGTAGTACTATTGAAATAACTAAACTATTTATATTATTAAATATTAAATATTTACTCTACCTAAATATTTTTTTATA